TACCAAATATAGATCTGCACTAGTAACCCCACGTTTTCCAACAGTTATACTTGGCTGAAATTGTGATTTCTTAAACAAAATAAGAAAACAAAACAATTAAGGAATAGCAAGACAATTCATTATAAGAGGAGGAAAGATGTAGTCATGTAGATGCTTTCTTTAAACAACAAATTTCATTCTGCTCTCATGACTCCTGCACTCCTACTAGTAAAAACTATTTTTTTTTAAATCATCACTATTGTGCTGCCTAATATAAAATTAGGAAAGCTTTCTTTTGCAGGTCATTTCTTGGATGGATCTTGTGTTTCAGCTATAAATAGTGATCAAAGAAGCTAATTTTATATTGAAGCAAAACTAAAATATATTTATGTGACATTTCTTTGAAATGCAAACTTTTACATGGTCAGGGTTTAAGTTTTTTCCCAAGATTAAAAGGATACATACCAGTGTTTGAGTTGGTGAAGCTGCTATGGAAGTCTTCAAGCTTAAAACTGCACTAGCAGAACCAACACCCTAGAAAACATAAAATGTTATTTGATGAAGTCATCTCTATTTTTATAAGTAACATATCAAGGAAATTCATTACATTAAAAACAAGAGAGTTCAGCACAAAAGGTTATGCATAAAACAAACACCAAACCTCAAGGCTGATTGATTACAACCATTGTTCGCAATTTCAATAATGGGCATTTCACCATGCAAGGATGGGGAAATTTCAGGGATATTTTCACTAATTCCATTAAGATATTTAAGAAAAAATTAAAAAGCAAGAAATTTTTAATAAGAACATGGAATTGGTTATTGGACTTTCAAGGAACTTTATTAATCATGGGGTGTTTGCAAAAACTGGATCATGGAGGGAAGATGTTGGAGAAATATTTTAGAACAAAATTTACAAAGTGAATCATGGAATGTTAGCAAGCATGTTAGTACTCTTGGTAAATGAGGCAGTGAAGAATTTTTTCTTTTTTGAGAAAAAGGTAAAGTATTTCATTAAACAAACTGAACAAGAATACAGACCTGCCCAGTAAGGTACTGGGCAGAAAGAAAAAAAAGAAAACTTTTTACATCCCAAACACGACGATTTAAAGCTCATACAAAAAGAGTGATGTGCTAAAAAAAGGAGCTATTGAACAACTTATGAGTCACCACCCAAGAGAATAACCTTCCCCAAATGCTCTTTAGAACTTCCTCTTCTGAACTGAATTTGTCTTCAAAAATCCTCATGTTTCTTTCTGTCCAAATTGACCATACCACCACAGCTGGCACCACCTTCCAAACAATCTTACATCTCCTCGACAAACCCCTCAAAAACCAACCCTGTAATAGTGTCATTACATCCTTTGGAAAACACATTTGGATTCTAAACACCCTTAAAGTTTTCATCCATATTTCCCAACTGAAACTACAGTGTAGAAAGAGATGTTCCAGCTCCTCAGAACTGTTGTCACACATAACACATCTGCAGGGCTCTACCTCCCTACCTCTCTTTGACAACTTCTCATCTGTTAGACAACTCCCCAAAGCTGTAACCCACAAGCAGAAAGATACTTTTAGAGGAGCCACTGTTTTCCAAACCACGTCCTCTTCAGCCTCAGAACAAATACTTTTGTATAAGGATTTGACTGTGAAAGAACCTGATTTCTCCCCTAACCAAACTCTCTTGTCCCTCCCCGTGCTATTCACCCTCACATTATTCAGAATCAAGGCTTTGAGGCAGTGAAGGACTCATTTCCAACAAAAAGGGTTTGAGGCAAGGAGAAATGTAATTTTAGAACAAAATGTAGAAAGTGTATCATGGGGTGTTTGCAGGCATGTCATTAGTCTCGGTTATTGAGGTAGTGAATGATTTATTTCTAACAATAAGGATTTGATCCAAGGAGAGCTTCTATCCCCTTCCTTTTTACCATAATAGCTTATGTGTTTAGCCAGTTAATACTGAAGGCAGATAGAGCTGGAATGATTAGAGGATGGAAAGACTGGTAGAAATTTGGTAGTGGTCACACCTCTAATTTGCAAACAAGATGCTGTTTTGTGAAGGTATGGGGAGGGGTTTATTTTTCTTTTTTTTATGAGAAAGTATTGTGTTAAAGAGCCAAAAAAAAATTACATCCGCCCATGTACATTGAGAAGCTGTATATTGGGAATGTGTGAAAGAAAACTATCATAAATACATCAAGCAAAAAGAGATTCAATGCAGTGATTGAAAAGGCACACCTAGGAGCACAAGTGAGGCGCATTTCAAGGCTTGCACCTTGCCTAGGCCCAGCCATAGTGACTTTAGATGCGCCTTAGCCCAGGGACGCCATTGTTAAATTTTGCGCTTTTTTGTATTTTTTTAAGCAGGGGTGCCAAATAAGTCCTTGCTAGGGTCTTAAATTCTTAATTCCTACTTAAAACATTGGTTTTATAATTTAGTTTTAGTTCCTTGTCTTTAAAAAGTGTCTTGTTTTAAGCATTGAAGAAGGAGATAGGGGGCTAGGAGGCTTCTGTCAGCCTATAATTTAGGGATGCTTGGCATGCTATGTAATTAAGTCAATCTTTTTAACATCTAATAAAAGTTAACCATTACCAACCAATATAATACACACACATAGACCTGCATGCTTGTTAAGCCCCTTTTTTATGGGCTAATCTTTGCTACCCATCCATAACATCATTTTTCTTATTCCCCACAAACTTCCATCTCAGGAAGCCACCCACCATTAGAAATTGTTTTCTTGAGTTTACAGTTTAAGATAAAGCATCAAAAGTTATTCAACTGGATGATAGGGACACCTTAGCAAGGCCAGGAGGACCAATTGTGACCAGATCTTCAAGCGACTCCACTTTGTCTAATGGTAAAGAATTGTAAAGCTCATCAACATCACTAAATTCTTCAAAATCCTCCTGCATAAAAAATAAAAATGAAACAAAGTTAAACAACAGGCAATCCAAAGTCCACCATTTGCATCGAAGAGCAAACAGAGGCAATGTAATGCACAGCCTCATTCCGATACTTCACATTACATAGAAAGGAAATGGATTGTGAGGGAATGATCAAATAAATAACGGAATTAGATTTCTCTGTCTGTAGCACACACCTGATTGCGTTCAACATAATCTTCTAAGAAGTCTCTAACATCATTGACCTGCTCAGGACTCAATTCATCGTTATCCAGTAGTCTCAAAATCAATTCTAACTTCATTATGTGAGCTTTATGCCTGGTAATAGAGGTCTCTAAATGGGTCTGCAAAACAAAAGATTTTTCATCAATAAAAGAGGGGGGGATGTCCTAGGACCATATAAGACAGGCAGTTTTCATTCTACCAGTCTGGGTGGTCTTGCTTTTCCTTTCTTTACAGAGAGCCCCTCAATATCAGCTTCAAAGCAATCAATTTGAGACTCCAGCTCAGAAACCTAATAATAAGATTAAAACAATGTATCATTCATCAAAAAAAAAAAAAGATCAAAACAATGTGCACAAAAAACTGCTTTAAAATGATGTAATAGAAAATTAGAAGCATGAAGAAAAAGAAACCGACCATCAAAGACCAGAAAAACAGTTAAAAACCATACAAACTTCATGTGCGTGCATATAGAGCCACATGCATATAAAACAAGCATAAATCACAAAAAAAAAAAAAAAGCCAGAGCTTTTTCCAAGAAAAAATCAATATTTTTGACATTTTCATTTTCTATAATAACCGGATCAAGAGAGCTTTGTTAATATTAGATATGTGAAAGCATAAAAAACTCCAGAGAGATGGGAGTTATCCCATAAGCAGAAAACAATACAAGGAGGAAAGTAAACAGAAGGTACAAATATATGCTCATTTACCTAAAAAAGCAGGAAACATAAGATGCATCATGCATCATAGATAATCAGCAAGAATCATAAAAGAAGAAAGATGCCACAGTTGCACTAATCTGCGTACAATGTTGCACCCAAAAACTTGTCATTTTCATTTCTATGGATAACCATTTTCTTCTCCCCTCTTCTAAATTCCTTTCCCTCAGTTAAACCTAAACTGTTAAACATCTTTGTGAGAGTAATTATTTGTTATATTGGATATATAAAGAATACATATATACATGTACATATATATCTATACTACCTATAAAAGAGCGAATGTCCCTTTCTTCTGGAATTTTCATTGGACATTTTCTACCCCTTATCTAAGCAGCACACAACGGGCATAAAGAGGGCATATATGTCCTTTACTCTCACTCCAAAAAACTGTCCACTTATAACTGTTCAAAAACTGCCCATGAATTGTAAATAGTTTTGTCTTGGAGATACTGTCACGTGCAAATGCACGTACATGTTTACTAGTATATATATATATATAGATAGATAGATAGATAGATAGATAGATAGATAGTTCAGTACATCTGGCAACCAAGCTGGCTGATGATCAAGTACAAAAAAGTCAGTAGGATGAGTGGGATAGCTATTATGTTAAGATTAGTGCATTACATGAAAATTTTTAACTATCATGTTAAGATTGTATTAGTGACTACTTCATAGTGGAAAAGGCACGTGCACAGAACTAAAGCAGTTGTATGGGTAGATAGTTCAGTTGATGGCCTAAGCAATGCTATTAGTACACTGGTAAGTCACGTGCACATAAGAGAAAATATAATGACCAAAAGAAACATTATTGTACTGCCAATCTGCACATATTGGCACAATGTTGGAAATGAATGTGAATGAATTCAAAGCAACTTTTTTGAAGAAGGTAAAGTATTGTATTAAAAAAGAAGAGAAACTTTGTCACCAATCAAAGAAAACGAGTAGAAATTCTTTCAAGCCTACCACATGGATGGATAAAGGATAGTTAATGTAAGGGGGTCGAAGAAAAACTGAGAGGGTGGGGGGAGTGAATTCTAGGAGTAGGAGGTGTTGGCTCTTCTTTTGTTATATCAATGAATATTAAAATTCTTTCTTGGAATGTTCGAGGGCTGGGGTCTGGGAGAAGAAGAATGGTGGTTTGTGATTCCTTAAAGGCTTCAAATTCGAGAATTGTATTGATTCAAGAAACCAAATTGGAGAAAATTGATGCTGGTATTATTCGGAGTATTTGGGGAGATGGTCAGGTAAGATGGAGGGCAAAGGCAGCCAATGGGAGTGCGGGAGGCTTGCTATGTCTTTGGGACCCCCTTGTTTGTAGTTTTATTTCTTGCAGAAGTGGGAATTTCTCGATCTCTCTTGTCTTGAAGCTGCAGGATGGTAATATAGTTCAAGTCACAAACGTGTATGGTCCAACAGTTTCTAATCTTAGGAGGAGTTTCTGGGAGGAACTGGCTGATATGAGGAGGACTTTGACTCATCCTTGGGTTATTGGGGGAGATTTTAATGTCACCTTGTCGGTGGAAGAGAAGAATACAAGAAGTGGCAGAACTGTATCGATGAGGCAGTTTGCAGATTTCATTAATAATATGGATCTAATGGACATTCCCATTCAAGGTAACAGGTTCACTTGGACAAATAACCAGGATACCCCTACCCTGGTCAGATTGGATAGATTTCTTGTTTCCTCAAATTGGGAGGACATCTTTCTGGACTTTAGGCAGATATCTCTACCCAGACCTGTCTCAGACCACAGTACTATTCAGCTTATTTGTGGGGAGAGGGAGAAGGTCAAAACTCCCTTTAAATTTGAAAACTCTTGGTATGAGGAGGAAACTCTCAGACCATTGATGAAGAAAGTGTGGGAAGAACTTCAAGTGGAGGGATCCAGTTCCTTTGTTCTGGCAAAAAAAATGATGGCTATAAAATTGCAAAGAGGTTGGAATAGCTTCAAGGGAACTTCTTATGGAGGGGATGGGAGGATGAGAAGAAAATTCACATTGTTAAGTGGGAGCAAGTGTGTAAGCCTAAGGAGAAGGGTGGTTTGGGAGTTAGGAAAGTAAAAGATTTCAATGCTGCTCTTCTTCGCAAATGGATATGGAGATTTGCTTATGAGAGAAATGCTTGGGGGAGGTGCCTCATTGCGGCTAAGTATGGTGTGGATTGGAGAAATTGGAAAACTCTCGATCCCCCTTCATTTGGGGGTAGTTCTCTATGGGTTGGTATTTCTAAGATCAGTACTCTTATCATGAACGGGGTCAAGTTTAAAGTTGGAAAAGGGGATAGAATCAAGTTTTGGAAGGATTCCTTGTGTGAGGAAGGCCCCTTGGCTGATGCTTTTCCCCGGCTGTTTCAAATTGCAGTGAATCAAGATTCTTCAGTTGCTAATAACATTAGTACCGCTGGGGGCTCCTTCTCTTGGACTCCCCTATGTAGGAGGAATTTGC